TCCTTGATATCCCTGGCCAGATTCTGTCAGGGCTTTGGCTTTCTTAACCTGATCCCTGGCTGCTCAGACAACCTCTGTATTCCTCACAGGTTACCTGTCCTTGCGTCCACCCTCTGTAGGCTTCCTTTTTGTGCTTGAGTTTGTTCAGGAGCTCATTGTTCATCCAGGATGGCCTCCTGGTGTTTTTGTCTGACTTCCTCTTTTGTTTCCCCAGCTTTTTCAAGCTGCTTTTCCCTCCAGGACTCTATCTCAGCAGACCCCTGAAGAGACCAAAGTCTGCTGTCCTGAAGTCCAGGGTAATGAGGTTCCTCGCCTCCTGGTGTTTTTGTCTGACTTCCTCTTTTATTTCCCCAGCTTTTTCAAGCCGCTTTTCCCTCCAGGACTCTATCCCAGCAGGCCCCTGAAGAGGCCAAAGTCTGCTGTCCAGGGTAATGAGGTTCCTGTGTGCCCTCCTCACTGGAGGATCCTCCTCCTAAGCATCTTGAACTCCACCATTTCATGGTCACTGCAGCCAAGGCAAGGCAGTTTCTCCATGTGGGGAAGAACTAACACAGACTGATTTCCTCTGATTTTTTTTCTGTATCAAACCACCTGATGTCCCTTGGGACTTTTCCTGCCTTCATGTCACCTGAGTATTGGCTAGACCAGGGCAATGCATGCAATACATGGGGAAGAACTAACACAGACTGATTTCCTCTAATTTTTTTTCTTTATCAAACCACCCAATGTCCCTTGGGACTTCCTGCCTTCATGTCACCTGAGTATTGGATAGACCAGGGCAATGCATGGAATACACGTGTCAATTGTTCAGAAACTCCAATACTTTTGGGCTAATTTTGACCAAAAAAAATAGAGGAGGCCTGATGATATTAGAGGATTTTGAAAATAATTCAATTATATGTTCCCAAGTTACAGGATATTTTGTTTCGGGTGCTTTCAATATCTTTGCCTTTTGCAAGTGAAATGAAGAACTTTCATGTCAACTCTCTTAACTCTTCTATTCAGTTGTTGCATTCTGATTTTTGCTTCCTTTTCCAGTAGCAAAGAAATGCTCCATTTTTGCAGGGTGCTTAGTTTCCTTTTGGTGAAAGACTTTGTTCCTTACCTCTGCTACTTAGATCTGGACCAACTCACAGAAATAATGAAAATAACGGGTACACCAACTCAAGATTTTGTTCAAAAACTGCACAGTCAGGATGTGAGTATTCTGCTTTGTCAGTTGATTTTACTTAAATTAATTTTACTTAAGCCATGCTCAGTTCTTAGACTGGCTGAGATAACATGTATTGACTACTGAAATGACCCCCGATGGTACACCTCTGCCTTGAAGTGCTTTGCACACCCAGAATAGCTACCGGAGATTAAGGGCAGGACAGAAAATGATCAGGACACTTGAAGAATTTCTATGTTTAAATACTTCAAATTTTCTAATGTGTACCATATAAAAAGTTGAGCTGATGCATTACTACTCTTATTGGAAAAGCACTCAAAACATAAACCTATTCAGAAACTCTGGCTGATTGCAGATGTCTCTGTTTTTCCTATTGTTATGTGGATGTCCTTCTAGGATTCTTAAGCCCCTACCATGAAGAACCTAAAATTATTCATTCAACTAACTATACAATGTAAATACTAATGGATTAATGTGTGAGGTTCACTTCTAGACATTCCTGTAAACTCATTATGATATTCTTTCAAATGATGTGTACATATTTTTTATAATTTAATTTATTAAATATGGAGCATTAAGAATTAAATCTTTACATTATCGTTTCTTAACCACAATTTTAAGACTTGATTTTTTAAAAAAAAAGTTCTTTTTAACAAAGTGAATATAATCAAGGTTCGTGACCCCCTAAAAAAAATCATTTGAACAATGTTCTATCAAAGTATCATTGAGTTTCCTATTAAGCCTGTAGTTAGTGTTATCACATGAGAAAGGAGATGAAGGTCTAACTTAATATCCATGTTTCTTTTAAGGCAAAAAACTATATCAAAAGCCTCCCAAAAGTACAGAAAAAAGATTTTGCATCCGTCTTGAAGTATGCGAATCCTTTAGGTAAGACAGTTTGTGTGGATGTGTACAATTGTCTTATTCTTGTGGTTTTGTATTGGAGGCAGCAGAAGTCATGGGATAGCTTATGTGATGGTTCTCATGCTTTTCTCTCCCTTGCTTTCCGTAATTCATAACTTTGTTGTAGTGGCTGGACTTTGCCAAGTTTAGCCCCTGCCAGGAGTCAGATGCTTCTTAAAAGTGTCAAAAAAAAGAAGTATTTTGCGGTTTAGGCTTCAATCCATCATCTGCTTAATGGTTTTACTGGAGCAGCTTTCTCGAGAGCCATGAGAGATTAAATATATGTTTTAAATTTTTCTCTGTCTTCCATTTGAAATATAATTCTGAAAGCTCAATCTGGCCTACAGTAGAAATGCAAGCAAATAGAAAGCTGAAATTTTAGTCATGGAATTAATACATCCTGAGAAACATCTGTGCATTCCTGAGAAGCACTGGCTTGGATTTGGTAGGTGTAAACAGCCAGAAGAGCATACCAAGTGTGCAGAACTGTGACATGACCTGAGTCAGCCAGAGGTCTGACATGGCTCTGCCCAGAACTTATCTGTTCCCCAGTGACCTGAACACTCACAAAGCCAGTTTTATTAGAATATAAATTAGGATCATTGAGTTTTCTCAATTTAAGAAATTAAGATCACATGTTCAGATACAGGAGAAATAAGCATGATTAATAGGCAGCTCTTACCCTGACTGCCTGGTTACTGACCTTCTCAGCTACAGCAAACTACACATTTCCATTTTGGTTTCCATTTAGTTTTTAGGACATTTCTTCCTATTACCTTCCATTACTACGTACGTGGCCATCTGACTGCTCCTTACATAGAGAACTTATGGGCTGCGAGAGAAGGTTGGAGAGGATCCACAATGTGATAAGCGAGAGTCACGTCATCCTGTGACACGCTGCTGCCTCTTCTTCCTTTCAGCTACTCCACCCAACCCAGGAATGTTCTTTCAGGATAGAAAAACAGAATAAACAAATCGTTCCTCATTTTGACATTCTGAACAGTGGACCTGATCCAAAATCCGCTGGAGAGGAATGTACAAGATTTGCGTGGTTTGTTTTGGCTGAGGTCAAAAAATGCACGGCAGCGCTGAGATTCTGACCATGGGCAACTGACTTGTCTTAGGGAGCTTAGGGCTTGGATCACAAACAGAGGCGTTCTCGTCAGCGCTGCGCCCGCCTCTTCGTTGCGCTGCTGTACCTTAGAGCCCCAGCACCTGGAGCCAGAAGCTGAGAAGTCATTCCCTGAGCTGAGGTGGCTGTGTTTCATACAGAAGCAAGGGAGCACCTCTGTGTTGCACCAGGCTTCGTCCCAGCTTGCTCACAACACTCTTTGGTCATGCAGATGGAACCTGCCGGCTATAGAATGAGCACCCAATGATTCTGCTTTCTAACTCTTTATTTGAAATATCTCCAGGGCAACATTACTGTGCACAAGCTGAAATCAGTGGCGTGATTTGATTGCATTGTTTGTTTTCTGTGCAATAGCTGTAAACCTTTTGGAAAAGATGCTGGTGCTGGATGCAGAGAAGCGAGTCACAGCAGCTGAGGCTTTGGTGCATCCTTACTTTGAACCAATTCACGATCCTGAGGAAGAAATTGAAGCTGAAAAATACGACGACACATTTGATAACATGGATCTTCCGCTAGATGAGTGGAAGCGTGAGTTTAATTTTGTGATGTTTGCAAAGATAACCAGATAGAAAGGCCATCCAGAAATAAGAATATCCTCCTTTATGAATTGCTTTCTCTGCTTTTGATGGAACAGAGTAAATAGAGAGCATTAAAGATAGAGAAATGCTATTGATAAACATTCCAAATCTTCCTGGAATGATCCCTAGAGGTTTCTTCTCTGCCTCCTAACAGAGGCTCTCCTTCTCCTTCATGATTCTCTCTTCCCATCTTCTGCAACATGGGGAAGAAACCTTTTCTGTAAGCTGTTCCTTCCAGTGGATAGGACAGGCAAACAGATTGATCAACTGTTGGCTCTGTAGGACTGCAACAGTTGCTGGCCTTAATTTTAGGTTAGGTTCCCTCAGGGAGAGAAAAAATACCTATCTCAGCAGAGATTTAAGTCTGAGCCTAGTTTTCATCTAGTGTCAGAAGTTTATATTTTGGCTTTTAAGTGAGGACTTGGCTTCCAAAGCTCATTTGCTCAGTGGCTCTTTCTGAGGGTATTGACCACTATAAAGTCATTGCTCGCACCCCTTGGAAAGCATCTGTAACATTTCAGTATTGAGCTACTTCAAATCTGAAATGGTGAAATAATGAGCCTTGTTTCCCTGACTTTTTGCCCTCTTACTTTTTTGCCTGAAGAGGTCTCTGCCTGACCTAGACCAAAGACTAACCATGCTGCGGGTTGCACCTTGCTGCTGTCTGTGCTGCTCCTTTTCTGATTAGACTGTATTTATCCTGTTGTTTTCCAGGCATTACATATAAAGAGATACTGAACTTCAAGCCACCACAGACATCGGAGTCAAAGGAGACAGCGGTATAATTGTATGATTCTGTCTTTTCAGAACATGGAAGAAAGCAGGATAGTTGTAGATGTTCGTGACATTTCAGGTGTATAAAACTTTTATAAATAAACTGGATGTAATCTGTTTCAGCTGCACTGTAAGAAAAAGCAATGTCTTTTACTCTGCATGTGGAAGTTGGTGCCTTTGGGAATAGCATTTCAAAACTATCCAGAAACTTATTCCTGCCTACAACAACTTTCTTCCACACGGAAGGATTCGGGCTGTGATAAGCTGGTGCCATCCTGGAAAGAGCAGGTACGACTAATTCTTCAACTAGAAGATCAGAGGAGTACAAGTTAGCACCCCAAGCAAGCTGAGCCACAGAATACATCAGACATGTGCCGTGACTGCTCTCCAAAGCCACTGAACTATCCTGAATGCAAGAAAGTGTTCATGTGACTTTCTCTGGAATATTTCACCGTGGTAAGATGCCTGGAGAGGCTAATCAGCTTCTGCTACCTCAGCTAGTGCAGCGAGTAGCAGAGACGCAGCCCAAATGATGCCTGTGTCCCCTGTCCTACGTGAGTGGAGGAGAACCTGAGCTCCAGCTGGCTCTGACAGATCTGGGCAAGAGGCAAGAAGCAGAGAAACGTTGATCATAGAATCATAGAATGGCCTAGGCTGGAAGGGACCTTAGAGATCATCTAGTCCAACCTCCCCGTCATGGGCAGGGACGCCACCTCTCGACTAGACCTGGCAACACATGGGGACCGAGCGGGATGTCTTAGATTTTTTTCCAAGTAACCAGCATAGCAGGACAAGGTTTCACAGACGCACTAGGTGAATAGTCACTGGAAAAAGAATCACTGTCAAGGGGCACAATAATTTCCTCCAAATACAGTGTACTCTCTTTGTAGAATAGACTAGGGATCAAGGATTTCCAGGGAGAAATTCATAAGGCTTTCTAAAATTTTGTAAGCTCTCTAGCACCTGAGTCTTGAAACGATCACTGAGAAAGTACATCTTTTGAGTGGACACACTGGTTATAGAATAAGTGGTGCTGATTTTAGAAATAAAGCTGCACGTGTGTCACATTGTAGAAAATAAAATGAGGATAGAAATGCTGCACAATAGCTGTTCATTAGGAACAGCTGCAGCAAGCTGCTTTGTTCACAGTGTGCAGAGGTCTTGCCAGGTGCAGAAGAACAACCATTCCTTTTTTTTAGCCTATTGAACTCATCTTACTTGGAAAAACCCTCAGACCTTCTGTTGAAAGGTGCCTTACCAGAAGGAGTCAGCTTCCTGATGGGTTAGACTGGTTGGACACTGTATTTTCTAGGTGCTTAGTTCATAATAATCTCTCAGAGATAGGAAGAAAATAAATCAGCAAGCCTTTGGTGAATAATTTCTTTGTGAGATTGCTTGTTGTTGTTAAAGGTAATGTCTTTACAATTGATTATTTGCATGCAGATTATTCCCAGTGAAATATGCTGTTGTGTGTTGCTACCAAGTGAAACAGTTGTGAAGGAAGACATTTGATTTTAGCAGGTAATAACTGGTAAAAAAGTAAGAAATTATTTGGGGCTTTCTGCTTTAACAGCCAATTTAAACCACAAGTTTAATCAAGGCACAGTTGTTCTGTTTATTTCAATGAATATGTTAAACACCCATAAATATTAGCATTTGTTTAAAAATTGTGTTGAGCATTGTTTAGCTGAGACAGCACCTAGGGAGACTAAATGGTAACGGAAACCTTGAATTATTGATATATTTTATAAGCCATTAAAAACTACAGTTTTGGGAATATATAAAACAAGCAGAGAATGCAATTTGAAGCAAAACATTTTTCCACACTACAGGTCACTGAGGAAGGCATACTTAAGCTCATACCCCATTTTGCACTATTGACTTTCTGCCTGGATTACTCTTTTACATTAAATAGGGATTTAGTTTTTTACAGAATAAATGTTTTCTCTTAGGGTAATGCACTGTGGTCCTCTTAAAAGTCATGGGAGAAAGTGCCTACTGGAATTAGTGGGCTTGATAGAGCCAGTCAATGGGAAATGGAAAATGTGAAAAACTTTTTTGAGAATGCTTCTCCTTGTATTTTGAATTGAATTTTAACATCCTAAATTCTAGCAAATATTTGAAATCTTGAGATAATGCAGATAGCTCAATTGTTAGTGAGACTCTGAGGGATCTTTTTCTTCATTGAAAAGCCACTTTGGATTTTCTTCATGAATGCCAACACTTCCCCTCACCTTTACCCTTAGTGAAGCCGAGCCCTAAGACCCTCCACTGGCTGGGGTGAACGTTTTCCTCTCTTTATTTTAACTTAGTATTGGAGAAGCAGCTAGCCCACATGAGAAAGACCTAAGAAGATAATGTTTTCCAGATACAGTGTGAATACAGAACTTGTAAAATAACTGAAGAGAAGACCTTGATGGTCATGCCAGCAAAGCCAGAAGTACTGCTGTGCTGTCCCGTCAGCAAACATTCTGTAAGGTGAAATAGCAAACGTGGAAAGTTTGTCACATCTTGGCAAGACGTTTCTGCAGGGATTGAAATCTGCAGAAACAGCTCCAAACAGCAGTAGAGATTATTAGTATAAATTGCTCATTAAAAGAAACGTGAGGTGAGAACAGAAATAATTTGCCTGAGAGGCAGCTGCTGCTTCAGAAGGAGAGACAACATTTCCTAAGTTTTTATTTGCTATTTCCACTGGTGCTAAGCAACTCAGGAATAAGAACCCAGTCTCTGTTTGCCTTAAAGAGAAATGTAAATACATTCTGCATGTACTTGAAATGTATTGTGACAAATAAAGGTCGAGGGCTTGTTTTTTGCACGGGTGGTCTTATTTTCCCTATACGTATTCCCAGATGTATAATCACTCCTGAAAATAGTACTTTTTGATATAAGGGAACTGTATGAAACCTAATATCGCAGGTACATTTCTTGTAGTATGAGCTGCCGAGTGTATTTTGGAAGTCAGTCAGACCTCAGATGCTAACCTTTCTTCCATCCTCCAAACTTTTAAGTGCACCACGGAGCTGATCTGATTGTACTACTACCACCCAGTTATTTCTTTCAGCATCTTGGATTTTACCAGACACTTCTGCTTTGTTCCGAAGGGCAGGATTTCAGTCCTTAATTGCAGTTGCATTCCTCAGACTGATTTTAAAGCCAAAAGTCAGATTGGCAGTCATCAAGCCTATAGATCTTAGAGTTGGACAGGAAAGTTGAAGCTAAGAGAGTTCCAGTAGGATGAATGGAACCTTTGGGCTGAAAACCCACATGTACCCTGAGTGGTTTAGAGCAAAATTTTCCCTTTCACTGCACTGAAGACTCGTCATTCATGCTGAATTTTGATATTTTTGAATTTTGATGGGGCTCACAATTTCACTTCTTGATTATTTTCTGGATTTTCTACAAGATAACACTGAGGTGAATGCTAAGATGTGTCCTGCAAAATGTGTCCAGAAGATCCGCTTTGTTCTTGCTTCAGAACTACCAGGCATATGAGCTGGGTTGGATTCTTTGAGCTGCTTCTTTCTGATCTGCTGTTCAAATATAAATGTCGGGTGCTTCTGGTCTGCTTCAGCTAAGGTTGACAGAGAATGAAGCATCTGTTAGATGCTCTCAGTCGCCGGATCTTGGTATGAAACACTCCTGTTGGGCTTTAGATCGTCCCTGCAGGTACCAGGGAAAAACCAGGGGCTCATAACACCTGCTATCTCTGCTGATTAATTCTCCATCTCCTGAATACGCTGTAGGACAACTGGTTGTCTATGTCAAATAATACCAGAAGCAGTTTCAAGGATTACAGCACTTAAAATCTCCTCCTAAGTATTCTGAAGAATTCGGAAGCAAGCGTTGGAGAAAGATCAAGAGAGGAGGACTTCTATCCTACAGACACTCTTTGAAACGTCATGACCTACCAGTTAATGAGCAGCTCTTGTGCACACGTTATTTGGAACCCTCTGGGACAGTAACATAATGATCTAAAAACTGCATTGCCACCCAGCAACCGTGTGCAGCTCTCGAGCATGGGAGTGATGCCTGCTTTGTAGCTATCAGGAACAGCATCCCTCTGCAAGGCAGTAAGTGGGGACAAGGAAAATAATTTAAGGATTCATTATTTTTTCCTGCTGCTCCCCTCCTCTGCAAACGGAGCTCTTTTACACTTAACCTCATTGCATTTCCATGCAGGAGTTTTCTAGTTCACTCCAAGGTCTGCTTCACCAGTCAGCAAGGAGGTGCATTTCCCAGCTAAGTTTGAGTGATCTGGCCATGCAGCTCTTAGACCTTTTACTGAAATATTTTGAGTATGCTGTTATATCTGAGAGGCAAAATGAGGGAACCAGTGAAGCAGCTGAAGGAAATACAATGAAATTGCTCAGGTCCCACATGAGAATGCCTTCACTTTTGCCGTGCAGTGCAGTGTCCTCAGGGCATGTGCTCACAGGGAACAGGGGATGTTTCCTGCTGTGTTTGGGCAGTGCCTGCAGCAATGAGGCTCTCCTCTGAGTGACACTTGTCATACCAACACAACCAAAGACTGCCAGGGAATCCAGCTCAGTCTGACGTCAGTGGGAAGAGACCTTATTGTGGCCTTCCAGTATCTCAAGGGGGCTACATGAAAGCTGGTGGGGGGCTTTTTAGGATGTCGGGTAGTGACAGGACTAGAGGGAATGGATTGAAGCTAGAGATGGATCGGTTCAGATTGGACGTTAGGAAGAAGTTCTTCCCCATGAGGGTGGTGAGACACTGGCACAGGTTGCCCAGAGAGGTGGTGGAAGCCCCATCCCTGGAAGTTTTTAAGGCCAGGCTGGATGGGGCTCTGGGCAGCCTGATCTAGTGGGGGATGTCCCTGCACATGGTGGTGGGGGGGTTGGGACTAAATGATCTTTAACGTTCCTTCCAACCCTGACAGTTCTGTGATTCTGTAAGTTCATTATTACTATTATTATTATAAGCTTAAAATTACAAGTTACGAGAGTGATAATTGCCCAGAGAAACACAAGCATTTAGTCCACTG